AAAAGCCAAAATTTACATCTATCACTAGTGATAGATGTTAGAAGTGCTTATTTTTTAGACCTATGGCCTTACAAAATGGAACTATATTCTCAGCTTTTTATTTCGAAAATTTGATTTTCTAAATATCCTAATATATATATATATATATATATATATATATATATATATATATATATATATATATATATATATATATATATATATATATATATATATATATATATATATATATATATATATATATATATATATATATATATATATATATATATATATATATATATATAAAGTGCGGGCGTGGCGCAGTGGTTAGAGCGCCTGCTTTATAAGCAGGAGATCCAGGTTTGAAGCGAGTTCTGGACATATTTTAATAAGGAGGAAGTAAGGAAGGAGGCGTGAACTTCCTGATTAAATCCATTTTCGCGGTGTTCTATGACAAGACCGTTAGGTCTTCTTGGGGCATCTAAAAATAATAACAATATCTCTCTCTCTCTCTCTCTCTCTCTCTCTCTCTCTATATATATATATATATATATATATATATATATATATATATATATATATACATTTATATAAATATATATATATTTATATGTATATATATATTATATATATATATATATATATATATATTTTTTATATAATATATATATCTTATATAATATATACATTTATATATATATATATATATATATATATATATATATATATATATATATATATATATACATTTATATAAATATATATATACATATATATCTTATATAATATATATATCTTATATAATATATACATTTATATATATATATATATATATATATATATATATATATATATATATATATATATATATATATATATCTTATATAATATATATATATATATATATCTTATATAATATATACATTTATATATATATATATATATATATATATATATATATATATATATATATATATATATATATATATATATATATATATATATATATATATATATATATATATATATATATATGTATACATATATAGTGCAGTGAAGTCAGAGTCGTGACATTTTTAGTGGAGTCGCTAAACAAAATTGCGACTCCAACTCCAATAGTAAAACTTTTTGGTATTGCAGGTGCATCCACAAAATCTTTAAAGAACATTTCAAATATTTGGTAAATTTTTTTAATATCGCGTAATACTTTTTAAAGAATTCAAAGAATTTCGAAAGATTTTGGTTCGGAGTCAGAATCGCAATCTGAAAAATTCAACGATTGGAGTACTGGAGTGAGATTGGAGTCGGATTCGGTACTTTTTTTCTACGATTGTAAACTTAAATTTATGTCGGAGAGTTAAATATTAGACAGTAAGCCATAACATTCTTTTATTTTATATTTAATTTTAATGTGTAACATCTTAATTAAAACGTATGCTCCTATTTTCCATCTTATCAAATATTAAAAGACAAATTCTTCAAACAAAAGGTTCTTCAAACAAAAATAGTTCTTCAAACAAAAGGTTCTTCAAACAAAAATAGTTCTTCAAACAAAAGGTTCTTCAAACAAAACTATCACTCTCACTAGACAGTGAATAGTCTACTCTAGAAACTTGCAAAAGTATCATAAACTCATAAAGTTTGCGTATTGTTTTATCTGCACCGATGGTATCTATCAGACAATAAATATTTTTTAAAATCATTTTTCACACAGTTACGCGATGCAGGGCATATAGTTTAAAAGTATCATATAGTTTAAAAGTATCCTTTTTTTCTCCTTTTAGGCTATGCGAGGTTGGCTTAGATCGCAACATAGTACTGATTGATGAAATTGATCATTTTTTCGGGCTCACTTATTTTTTTGGCTCACTTATTCTAAATGTTTTTATTTTTTTTAAATAATACATTATACTAATACATTAATACAAGATGTCTTTTTGATATCTTTTCTATTATCATTTCATAACCAGTTCAGTTAAATAAACAAAATGTGAAAGTATGAACAAGCACTACAATGAAGAAATACTTTTATTTTTTCTCGTTTCAAGCATAGTATTTTTTTTCTATGTAAAATAGAAGATTAGAAAACGCATTAACCTAGTGTATCGCAATACACTATTTCGTTAACGCGATTATACAAGGTTTGCATTTGCGCGGAAGTAATATACATTTGCCACGGATTGGTCACAATTAAATACCGTACTTAAATACACAATTAAGTACCGTAATAAATTAAAAAATTCCATACCTTGTTAGAAGAAGAAAAATATAGGGTTAAATTGCGCTTATCAAATAATCGGACACAAGGTTTGTTAGATCCTTATAAACTAAAAATAAACCGCACAATTTCAAAAAAACAAAGTTTTTTTAAAAATGGTGCATACCGCGTTTTGAAAATAAACTCTTCTTATCTATATCTATCTATCTATCTATCTATCTATATATATAATTATATATAAATTTATTATTTTCAATACTGTTTGAAATATTCAAAACATTTATTTTGTGTAAACTTTTTTCAGAAAACTATTAACACATTTTGTTTGAATACAAACTATTAAGTTATAAATATATATATGTATGTATAAAAAATTATATAATTTTATGAAGTTCGTCAAGCAAACATAAATTAATATGACATAAAATATTCAACATAAATTACAGTATAGTCGCCATGAAAGAGTCACTCTTTTGTCATCATTTTGATAAAAAACGTGTGAAACGTTGTTTCATTGTAAATAACCATTTTTTATATTTACTGTTTTTTAAAATATTTTGGTAGAAAAGACGGACATTTGCCATTCTTATATTACAAGCACATATATTGCATATAGCTATATTGAATAGCTTATTAATATGTCAAATTAAAATTAGAAAAATTCTTGTTAGGGAATCACTAAGGAGTTAGGATCTTCGCTGCCAACATACTGCGAACTCACAGCACCTGAAATATGGAAATGCATACGTCAAAAAAAGTTAAACTTTTTGTATCAAAAAAAAAATGTATAAAGTAATCTTGCACTATACCTTGAGGGGCGGCGCCATCACAAATATATTTAACCTCGACATACTTGATAATGCCAGGACACGGATTTATTTTCCACATTGAGTTCTTTGCAACAACTTCGCAAGAGTTTTTTCCGTTGCACTCTTTTCGTGCTATATCTACTGCATTTGATAAGCTACAGTTAGTTTCACGATGAGTTCCCCAAGCACATGGTCTTTGAGACGTGCGACCATAGTTTGCAAAAACTATCTCTATAAATTGATCACTTGGGCACAATATCGTTTTACTCTGATATTCACAAACTATGACAGTGTCTTGGTTTATTGACGAAGCTAACAAAAAAATTATTAAATCGGGTAAAGTATTAATGTAACGAAAAAAAATAGTTATAAAAAATTCATAAACATTTTAAAAAAGGATCAATAATCATCAGGAACATCAATAAAATGCAGACAAAAATAAAGTAAAAACAGAAAATATAAAATGATGACAAACATACAACAAGGATGAAAAAAAAACTCACAAAAACTTTCATAGCTACTAGCGATAGATCTGCCAATGTAATACGAAAATAAACGAAAACTTTCACTTCTAGCAACATATGTTTTTAACACAGTAAACGTAGTTACTTGAAATTGAGTGAAAGAATTTGTATAATTAAAAACAGACTTTCCCAGTACAAAAGTCGTTGCGGCTGCCACTTGCCGATTGCTTAAAGAAGGCTTTGTTGAAATCGCCTTGATGTTCCCATTTATGTAAAGAACAACTCCTTGGTCTTTATGCCACGTTATCAAAACAAAAAGCCAATCTTGACTATGGACAAAAGTGCTAACCTAAATAAAACTTAAACTTAAAACAGGATGTAAGGGTTTAAATAAAGTAAATATACTAACTCACAAAAGAAACAAAAAAAAAAGCAAAAACATATATATATATATATATATATATATATATATATATATATATATATATATATATATATATTAAAAGACATACTTCCCAAATAGATTCACTTGTAGATAAAGTGCAATACAATCTTTTTTCCATGACATACAATGAAACCCCTTTTCCATGATGACCCCCAGAATCAAATATAAAATGTGGGGTTGTGTAACTATCGACAATCTTGCTTAACCTGATTTTAACGACTATTGTTAAACCATTTCTTGCTAGTGATGGGTTTGTGAGAAAATGAGCTAAATTATAAATTTCATAAATATACTTGATGTTTTAGTTACTATTTAACAATGGTTTTAAGCACTTTGCATTTCTTAAGTAAACAGGCAGAGAAAAAAACTCAATAAAAAAATCTAAATCATATAGAAACAAAAAATAAATAACTCATTAAAATTTATTAAAATATTCAAATCACAAAAAAACAACAGCAAAAAAAAAAAAAAATCTAACTAATGCTAAATAAATTAAATGTAAAACCTCCCACACCTCCTAATTGAAGATCACTTGCATTTTGATGAACTTTTCCAATGCATTGAAAACGAATATCAAGATACTTGACAACACCAGGACAAGTATTTCCCCAAACAGAATTTAGCGCCTTCATAGTGCATACAGACTTTCCATCACACATCTCTTTCGCTTTTGTAAGTGATCCAACTGATTTACAATTTGTAATGATGTATTTGCGTCTTCCTTGGCAAGGTATATCTGAAGTTCTGCCGTAATTAACATAAACCACTTTTATGGTTTGGTAAGAAGGACATGAAACATCTTTTTGGAAATGTTCACAAATTATTTCTGCTTTTTCTTCGGAAAAATCTAAAAATTTATTATATTATTAAATATAATTTATTAAAGTATATTAAATATAATTTATTGTAATATATTAAATATAATTTTTATATAGTTTAACAAATTTATTATAGTATTAAAAAAACATTTGAAAATAAAATATAAATTTGTAGCATTCATTAGCATTACTCTATTCATTGCTCCATTTATAATAATTTTTTGTTTTTTTTAGTTATTAAAAGTTTTTTTAATAAACGTTTAATAAAAATAGAATTTCATAACAACACAAAATAACATTTTGTTGCCAAACATATTTTCCATTCATTTTAGTTTTAATTTTTTATAATGCAGTAATAAATTGTTTTAGTGTTTACTAGTGGTAGTGGTACTGGCACAATCAGCTGGAATTCAGCTAAGCTTAGAAAGCTGCTGATTTATGCACTTAGTTTTTGATTGAAAAACAAGAAAAAACTTAAAAACAAACTAATGCTTAATATATAAAATACCTTAATCGGTAATACACTACAATGGATGGAATCAAAAAGAAAGAAAAAATCTAAAGATCTATCATATAAAAGAATGGATTTAACAATTAAAAAATTAGAAGACTACCTGTGTAAAAATAAATAAAAAAGAGAAAGCTACAATACTTTATTAATATTTTATTTACTATTTTCAAGTTTGTGTTTATTTGGCTAACAAATCAAAGTGTTTGTTGTGAATTTACAAGCATTTATGGCATAACTATTAATTTTAAGAGTAGTAAATATGTACAGAACATGTAGCAAACATGTAGCAAGTATGTAGCAAGTATGTAGCAAGTATGTAGCAAGTGTAGCAAATGTGTTAAAGATTGACAGAAAGAAATTATTTTGAAACATGAGTGTCCCATGTTGTATTGAAGTAAAATTATACAAATAATTTTTTTACTTCAAGTTACTTATTTGCTAGTAATAGCTTCAAACTTTAAAAGTAAAAATTAGTAAAAGAAATTAGAGAAAAAGTTGAGAGATATTTTTAGTTCAATAACTGATTCTAATTTTGTTTTTAACATTATACGCGTTTGTTGCTTTTGATTTTTAAAACCTTCAATAATCATTTTTGTGTTTTTCTCTTAATTTTTCTAATATTTCATACAAAGTTTTTAAATTTCTTTATTTTAAGTGAATTAATTGTAGAGTATACCAAAAAACAATTTATAATTTCTTTATATATTGTTGCATGAGAATTATAGGGTTTTATCTGCATTTTTTTATTTTGTGAGAACCTAACTTTTGATATCTAAATAGGCAGGATGAATAAAAAAAAGCAATTGCTTTTACTCATTAATTGGTCAGTTTTACTTGAATAAAAACTTCAGTAGTTTTGCGCAAATTTTTATTCACATTAACTTAAGCAATTTACTCGGTAATTGCTTAGCTTTATGTAATAAAAACTTAGGCAAAATTGCTGAAATTTTAATTCACATAAAGCTGACCATATACTGAGTTAAAGCAATTGCTTTTTTTTATTCACCCGGCCTATTATTAAATAGGCCGAATGCTGTTATTCTTTATAATTATAAATTTTAAGTTGTTTATGTTATTCAGGTTTTATTATTAAACATATACTGTCTCATAGGCGAGAAGTTCAGAGTTAATTTCCCACCACATCCCTAGTAGGAGCACACTCAACTTGTTTTTCAGCACAGCAGTTTTATTTTTCAAGGTTTATGTTTTGGATTTGAATGGTTAAGAGAGGGTTACAACTACAACTTAAGTAACCTCCTCAACTCTAATGGCCTTCTGGGCCTTGGGGAGAAGAATTAACATAAAAACAAAAAGTAAAAATAAAAAAGAAACTTTAACAATGAACTCTCTCACTCTCAATAAAAATCTTCCAATCATCATATCATTTATAAATTCTAAATTTCATACTTTGTGCTGTGCATAACTAGTTCCATGCATAATTAGTGCCCAGCATAACTAATACTGTGCATAATTAGTGCTGCACATAATTAGTACCATAAATAACTTTTTTTACATCAAAATATTAGTTAACGGCAAGTTTTGCATGCAATTTAATTCCAACTACAATGTTATTTATATAGGAACAATCACACTTAGCAAATTTGACAGTTTTTAATTTTTAATTTTTACCATTAAAATCATTGTATAAATGCAAATTATAAATTTTAAAAGTTCAAAAAATAAAAAATAAAAATTTGTTTCAAAGAAGTTTATGATTAGATCTCAAAAAAAAAAAAAAAAAAAAAAAAAAAAAAAATGAAAATATTTTTTTGGATTATGGTTGCTTCATCATTTTGGTGAAAGGTAATAACAACTTATTTAAATAGTAACCTTCTAATAAATCTGTCTCTACCCATCCAGTTTCTCCATCAAATGTTAGACCATTTTCTGTTGATTGAACATCGCCAAATACTCTCAATGATGGAGATGTTAATGTTCGATTATTTTGAATCAGCAATAAAAACCAATCAAATGTAGGAAATAATACTAAAGGTGGAGAGATTTTCATAAGTTCATCAATTGATGTATATGTGGGAAAAAATGATGTCATCGCAATCTGAAACCTCCCATAACTTGTTTCACCTAAATATAAACATGTTTAAATATAGTAAATAAATGTTACCATACATGACATGACAAAAAACAGTTTTGCATTTAGGTAAACTTTTATATCTCTTCCCTCTTTTCCTTTAAAAAAAGCAACATAATATAAGTTATAAAACTTTAAATAACAATTTTATTAAAAGGTATACATAAAACCTCTCTTTAAAAATGTCAATACAAACATAATAATAAGACTTACACAAGTAAAAAAGATATCAGGTAACAACTTACACAAGTAAAATAAATAATAATAAAAATATTAATATATTAAAATTATATAACTTTGAACACAAAAATAATATTATAATTAAAAATAGAAAATTAAATTTTTTTACCATCAAAATTTAGAGATAGAACCTTATTATTCTCATCTACCAATATTTTGTCATATACCAATTTATATTACTTAATAAATAAAAAACAAATTCTAAACAATAAATTTAACAAATTTGATATTTTGATATTTTAAATTTAACAAATTTAACAAATTTTTACTATTAATTTAAAAAACTTAAGAGAGTATAACAAATTTTGTTAAATTCTCTTAACAGTACAAAAGGGAGATAGAACCCTCTTATTCTAACGTCACAACAAGTAAAAAAGATATCAGGTAACAACTTAGACAAGTAAAAAAGATATCAGGTAACAACTTACACAAGTAAAAAAGATAACAGGTAACAGGTAACAACTTAGACAAGTAAAATAGATATCAGGTAACAACTAACACAAGTAAAAAAGATAACAGGTAACAACTAACATAAGTAAAAAAGATATCAGTTAACAACTTACACAAGTAAAAAAGATATCAGGAAACAACAGGCAAGAAAAAAATGTAGTAATTAGATCAATAACCTTGATTACCTTAAAATTAAAAAATAAAAAAAACCTTTATTAACACTGCATCCAACTGTAAAGTTTGACAAAAACTTCATTTCACTAACAAGGAAACGACTTGCTTTTTCTTTAGCAACAAGAGCACCATTTAAATACATATAGATTCCCATATCTTCACGCCAAGTCACCAACACCAAACACCATGAGGTAAACACACCTGTAGTTTGTGTCTAAACATGAATACAGTGTTACTTTTTTTATGGTGAGTGTTTTCTTTATCATTTTAGGCTTGAACAGACAGTATATAACTTTGTGTAGACAGCCAGTATATGTATATATTTATTTATAATATATAATATACAATACATATATATATATATATATATATATATATATATATATATATATATATATATATATATATATATATATATATATATATACATACACAATATTATAATTAAAATGAAGAAAAACAACATTTTATGGGACTTGAGATTGCCTTGTAGGCAATCATCAGTCATGAAATAAAAAATATAATAAAGAGGCAATCATCTGCCATAGATTTTAAGATGGCTGATGATGGCCTACAAGGTATATAACATCAAGTTCCATAAATTGTTGTTTTTTTTTATTTTAATTGAATTAGTGAATATTAAAATGGCAGAAGTCCAACTATGTAAACTAAAACGGGAAGCTAAAAAAAACTTCATTTTCCTCCGTTGTAAATTTTTTTAATCGTTTAATAATTTTTTTAAAATAGGATAATGTTTTTCACCTTTAAAAAAAAATTATTGAAATTAGTTTTTTTTAGTTTCCCAAAAGTTTACATAGTTGGATTTCCGCCCTGTTCTATTTTAAAATTTAAATTGAGCACTTTTCTCAATAATTTAGAAATAATTTAGAAATTATTGTGTTAATTTATAACAAATAGATAAATGCATTGAACTCATTTTTAACTATTTTTGTTTGCAAAAACTTGGATCAATGATATGTTAAAAATTAATGCAGTTGTTTTTCAACTCTTTCAAAATTTAATAGTCTCCTCAAGGTACAATCTTAATAATAAATCAGAAGTATCAAATATATTGATAAAATAATTTAAAACATGTAATAAGTTGATTATCCATAAAATATTATGTGACGATAATAACCATCATGACGAAAATATGGTGAGTATATAACCAGCGTAACAGAGTGATGTGACTGAGTATGTAATCAGATTATATTGTGTTTATGATCAACCATACGATAATATGATATGTGATGATTATATACTATCTGGTATATATAGTTTTTTTATTTTTTATTTTTTTTATTTTAATTCACCTCCTCAAGGCCGAGAAGGCCACTACAGACGAGGAGGCTACTTATTTGTGGCTATAACTCTCTCTCAACTCTATAACTCCGAAACACGAACCTTGATGAACAAGGCCGCTGCGCGGAGAAACGAGTTGAGCGCGGTACTACCAGGGACGTGGTGAGGATCGAACTCCGAACCACTTGTTTATGAAGCGAGCGCTTTACCACTACACTACTACCGCATGTTATATTTATAACATATTTATTCAGGCCTTCGCCCACACTCCCCTAAAGTAGTTTATGGGAGCAATTTATGGCTCTCGCAAAAGTATTATTTTTTAATAAATATAAACCTTTTTTTTTTAGATATTGATTAGAAAAATTTTAAAAAACTTGTGCAAACTACAAAGAATAAAAAAGAAAAAAGTTTCAGTTTTCAGAACTATACAAACGGCTTACAACTTGTCAACTTTATAATATAAGTTATTTTATACTACAACAATTTTGTTTTTGGTAAAGCAGAATTCTAGAATTTTAAATGTGAATATAAATATTACATAATTATACTATTAAAAATACAAAGTTTTTTATAAAAAAGTATAAGAAAATAAATGCTAAACTCTGATATGAACATTTCTGTTAAACTGTTACTGCAAGAAAGAACAGCAGTTTTAGCTTAGAATTTACAAATGCTTGCCAATGTTCAGAGTGAGTTCATAGAAAATCAATAAGAAAGCCAAGTTCATAGAAAATCAATAAGAAAGCCAAGTTCATAGAAAATCAATAAGAAAACCAAGTTCATAAAAAATCAATAAGAAAGCCAAGTTCATAGAAAATCAATAAGAAAGCCAAGTTCATAGAAAATCAATAAGGTGAAGACTTTTGTTTCTATGCCACTTTAAAAACAATGTGCTTTTTTTACAGTTGACATCATCCGGTATAATATTCAAAACTTGATTGGCTTTCGCTTGTGGCGATTCGCAAAAAGTTGAAATGAATCTGATTTTTTTTTTCACTGCAGCGAAACGCTGAATCAGCATAATAGCCAGAAATGCTTTATCTGAGCATGCTTATTGACAAAAAAACTTGCTTTGCACGAATATTTTGTCTTGTAGAAAATGGCCTTAAGTTTTATTAGAATTAGTAAAATAAAATTTTTTTTCCTAAAATTTTTTGTCTGAAATATTTTGTAATATCACTATAGCATTAATGACAATATGTTGACTATAAGTTCACAAAATAGTTTATAAAAGAAATGTATTATTGTTTTAATTAAGATGTAAATAAGTCAATTTAAAAATAAATTAATAATTGCATTATAAACTGATATGCTTCATTAAGGCATGGTTATTGCATTAAAATAAAATTAAAAAAGAGCGCCAATCGAAATGCAATGTTTTTAATCTAATTAGATCAACAGATTGGTTTCTTGAATAAAAAATTAGTTTTTTTATTTAAGAAACTAATCTTTTACTTGTAACAAGTATAAAATTAAATATTGTATTTAATAAGCATTTTATTTAATTAATAAACAGATAGCTCGCACAAAAATCGAAGGCTTTTGTAAAAAGCTGTTTAGAGGAACAGCTCACATGGCTCCCCATGTTTGTTTTAGGAGAGCTTTTCTCGGCTCTCGCATTCATTTACTCCAAACTAATTTTTATTTTTGTAAACTTGAAAATAATAGTTTAGTCTAAAATGAATCGAAATAAACACCAAAATAGTTTGAAATCTATTTTGGTGTTTATTTCAATTCATTTTAGGCTATTAAACAAACAACGCAAGGAGAACATTTTTTTAGACTCTGATAATATACTAACTAAAATAAAGATTTAATATGAGTAGAAAACATGCAACAATTATTTAAATAAAAAAAAAATGATAGAACTAATAATATCATACTGACAATGTTCTGTTCATTTTCACATAAAACAAAAGCTGGTTTTTAATATGATTGTAAAGATCTGAAAGCAGCAAATCACTATTTAGGAGTTGGAAATGCATATTTTGATCTGTGTACATGCTTAAAAGATTAGTGTTTGGATATTGAAGAAATTGAAAATGGTTTTACGATCAACTTTTTGAACTATAAATAAAGTTTTAATCCAACAAATGAAAAAGTTTTTTTTAGTGATTTTTAGTTAGTGATTTTGATCCGTCTGAGTCGACTAATGCTTCAAATAGATTTCTAAAGTAAGCAAAGACTTCATTATAAACAACAACAAAAAAGGTATAAAGAAGAACTACCTTAATAATACCAGGAGAATGGGAACAATAACAACAGGTTACTTGGTAACAGTAAACACTAAACATTACTAAACATTACAACAGGTAACATTACTTGAGATAATTTTTACAAGAAAACAAAAAGGGATTTAATTATAACAATTGCTTGCTCAATGTCACGCAACATTAAAAAAATTTAGATTGATACCCTTAGTTTTTTTTAGTTTTTTTTTTTTTTTTTTCCATATTTTTCACGATAAAATTTTTTCAAAAAGTTCTCAGTCAACCCCATAGCACTTTTTATTCAAAATGAAACAAATGTCCATGAAACATATATGGTAGTTATTTGATCCACTGTGAGGAAGGACATCTGGTGGTAACTGTGAGGAAAGACATCTGGTGGTAACTGTGAGGAAGGACATCTGGTAAAATGCTGTGGTAAAATGCTGCTTCAAGTCTCATAATATCTTTGTTAAATAAGATAACGACAGTGTCTAGTTTCACACTCGTCTAGTTTAGATAAAACCTGTCTAAAACCGACAAGTGTGAAACTATGAATAAAAACATATTTTTGTTTTTTCTAACTTTTATGAACATAGTGTGTGAGTTTGTGTGGGTTATAACAACAATATGAAAAATTTTGAAAACTAAAGAAAATTTTATTAATTAATTTAAGTTTAAAAAAAATAATCAGCCAAAGACAACAGAGTTCTCTTGGGGATCTAAAAAGTAGAGATTTTATAATTAAAAACTACAGACTTTAGTCTGCATGAAAGTTCACTGATGATATTCTAATGATGTAGAAGTAGGTCAGCTATTTAATTACAATTAATGATGAGTAAAGATTTGGACAAGAATTATCTAGATATCTGAGGTACAGTGAAATATATATTTTTACACTATTTTATTTCTTTTTATAAAAAGGTTTTCTGGATTTATGTAAAATTGTATTAATAAAATATAAATCTAAAACCAAAACAAGTAACTGGAGATATGATTCACTAAATACAAGCAAGAAACATTAAAAGAAACAAAATTTTCTTTTAACTTCCTACTAATTTTTTGGTATAACTTGAAAAAGAAACATTTAATTAACTTTAATTGTATTTTTGCAGATAACAGCTTTGCTCACAGGTTTGTTTCTATAATAATTTTTAAAAGCAACACCAACATTTTTTAATCACAAATTGTATAAATGATGATTAGTGTATGCTACCATTGTTGTAGGCTGCCAATTTTGTGGCTTCAAATTCCAACACTTTTGTTATACACATGGAGAAACTAAGTTTTAAACTTATTAACTTGCATTTTAAGTATCTTAAAATCTAAGACAAAAATTTCCTATTTTGAAAGTGTAGACCCCCAAAGATACCCATTATTGTGTAAAAAAATAAAAATAAAATATATATATATATTTTTTTTTATTTTACTTCACCTCCTCAAGGCCGAGAAGGCCACTACAGACGAGGAGGCTACTTATTTTGTGGCTATAACCCTCTCTCAACTCTATAACTCCGAAACACGAACCTTGACGAACAAGGCCGCTGCGCGGAGAAACGAGTTGAGCGCGGTACTACCAGGGACGTGGTGGGGATCGAACTTGGAATTACTCGTTTATGAAGCGAGCACTCTACCACTACACCACTACCACATTATATATATACATATATATATATATATATATATATATATATATATATATATATATATATATATATATATATATATATATATATATATATATATATATATATATATATATATATAACTGAGATACTAAATATTCCCATTGAAGTGATTAATGATTTAAGCCACGATCAAACACTATTATTTGAATAATTTCTAAAGGATTTGTCAATGCCATATTTTTTAGAAGAAAAATTGGTCTACTAAATAATGCAAGATGGTTGACTTTAACAATTCGAATCATAGCTTTGTATACTTGTACTGAAGCACCAAGTCTAGATCATGTAAGGCTTGTGAATTTTATTGTACAAGTGCATGCATACAATTGGTTTCTTATCAAAAGGTCTTCTAAATTTATGGCTTCTCCAAGTATATTCTTTAAAAACACAGAACAGATAAGGAAGCAAGATGAAGAAATACAAAACATTTGTTTTAAAAATCTAAAAAAAATGATATTGTCTATTGTCTGAGAATTTTTTATATTGTATGCTTAGAGATGAAGATTCTAACATAAGGGAACAGGTGTTACTAGTCATTAAAAAACTCAGGACAAGTAAAGATAAAGAATGTTGTGTTATAAATATTGCTAATGTTGACATAAATTTTCAAGCAACTTCTTGGATAGAATTAATTGACTTTAAGAAAAAGCAGTGAACCGGCATCAACAATATGGTTGAAGGATGACAAAATCAATGCACTAATTGCAACTAAAGAAGTTCCGAACTTAACTGAATTTCCTTCTCACGCGCAGAGCATAGAACGCGCTGTCAAATTAGTTACAGAGGCTAGTCACCAAGTATATGGCAGGGAAGCTTGTCATAATTATATTTTAACTAAACTAAAATCCAAGGAAATTTGACCATATTTTGAAACTAAAAACAACTTTGTGGTTTTTTAATAATAAATTTTGTTATGCATTTAATGTTAATAAAACATCTTTATATGAATGTACTTACTTTTTTCAATGTGAGGAATATAAAAGTGTGTTTAGGATTTAGAACCAATGCAGTAGTAGGGTAGTGGTAAAGTGTCGACTCACATTTGCAAGGTATTTATTTTAGAAAAATTTCGCATATGCCCAAGCCTTTTGCAATAAAAATCTCGATAAACACTTATATTCATAAATGTAAGTGATAATAGTGTTAAAAACAATAAAAAAAGCAATTTAAAAACATGTTCGGATTTTGGTGATGGTTATCCATGGATATTTTTATTACCTGTTTATCAAGTTAATCACTGTTTTTGAATAAAAAATTAAGCACTGCAGGGGTCATAGAAATAAATTTTGAAGGTTTTAAATAAAATAGTGTAATGCTTCAGCTTTATCTAAATTCACAATTGGCTAGATATTTTAAACCAAATGGGTACACATACCAATTATGCTTAAAGTATTTAGTCAAAATTAAATTGTTAAATTTATTTATCCTTTGTTCATATCTGGTAATTATTAATTACTTACATCTTGGATAATCTTGAGGTCAAAACTATTCAAGTTGTTTGTAAGCACTTTCAAGACCTATATAACTATAATTATCTAAATCCTTTAGTATATAATTATATAATGTTTTCAACTAACTGTACTTTAAAAAACTAAAAATAACT